CCCATGCTAAACCCGCTGGTAGCACCAGAAAAGTGGGGAAGGGACAGAGAAGTTCCTCCAGGGTCATTTACAGGTCATTGTGAGGACTCCAGTCGGCCAGTCCTTAGCCTTCAGTCCCCTGCCCCGAGTCAGCTACTTTCCAACCACAAGCTCATTCCCTCCTTCCCTATCATCCACATTGGACTTTAGTACCTCTCTGCCCCTAGAGCTGCCCTAGGTCCCCAGTGCTAAGCCCCTCATCTCCACCCAAACCCCAGTATCAGTCTTCAGGACTACCCAATAATGCACACATTAATAGGCCTGCCACTTCTCCCACCCACCACCCATCCACATATCTAACCACCCATCCATCTCCCCACCCACTCCCCACCCATTCATTCCCTACACTCACTGGCTCCATCACTTATCTACCCATCCAGTCAACTAACCACCTATCCATCCATCCATCCATCCATCCATCCATCCAAATATCCACTCAAACCAACAGTCCACCTCCCATCTACCTACTTATCCATCCACTATCCAAGTAAATACCTACTTATCCATACAACCAAGCAAGCATCCACCCATCTCTACATATATCCTTTCACCCAGTCATGCAGACACCCATCTACCAATTGCATGTTTGTTTGTCTCCTCCGCTAGAGTGTAAGTTACATGAGGACAAGAGTCTCTGTCTGTCTAGTTCATTATTGTTTCCCCACTGCTCAGCTCAACAGACTCAGGAGACCTGAGTACAAATGTGCATACAGTTTGTATAACCGCTTACTCAGTTAATTCAAACATTTATTTTCTATTACGATCCAGGCCTTTTCTAGGCAGACATGCCCATCCCAGCTAGCTACCTACTCAACTACTCACCTACCAGGACAAACATCTTGCAAATGCTAGCCTATTCACCTGCCTATTGTCCTATCCACCCAACCCCTCACTCATCAACCCACCCATGATTCAGATGTCCACTCATTTTCCCAATGAACACCCACAGAGCTCAACCATCTCCATACCTACCCACTCCTTCTTCATCTGCCTCCCAGACCTATGCCCTGGCTGCCATGAGGGAACTGATGTGGGATTTGGGGCCCTAGGAAGATGCTCTCATCTGGGATCTCGGAGTTAGTGGAGGTGGGATCCAGGCTTCATTGAGAAGCAGGTGCTGCCCCTAACAATGACAAATACCTTTTATCGAACACTTTAAATTATGGGTCTTCTATTGTGTAAGGAACTTTAGATTCATTTTACAAATAAGGAAATTGAAGTTCTGAGAGAGCGAGGGTTTAAGGTCACTTAACTGGTGAGGATCTCCTTACATCACTTCCCTCCATGAGACCTCCAATTAGAGGAGAGTTTGGGAGAGCTGAGTTGGAGAGGGGGGTTGCTTTCTGACTGGCAACACTTAGGGGTAAAAAAAAATCGTTTTTTTTTTTTTTTTTACTGAAATCAAGATTTTACTGGGCAACCTCATGGTGCCAGACTGGTTGGAACGTACAGCTCCACTCCTTACTGCAGGCCACGTAGGGCTGAGGCAGGGGTTGGACAGGCCCCAAGACAGCTTTCTCTCTGCTCCCAGAGCACGTAGGGCGGAGTGGGTGTTTCAAGTGGTGTCTCCGTTGATGCAGGGTGCTTTGAGGGGCAGGGACTGGCTCCGGGAACCCGATGTCCTGGGAAGAAGCTGTCGGCTCTGGACAGTATCCCTCAGCTGGGCCTGAGTACTCTCTATCTCAGCCAGGCGGCACTCCTGGAGAGGCAGCAGCAGTGGGCTCGGAGTCAGGGGAGGGTTCCACCCCAACTCTTGTTTCCTCACCCAGCCCAGATCTGCCACTAGGCTCGGGCAGGGGTCTCACCAGACTTTTCAGCCTGTGGTCCTCAGTGCTTGAAGGGTCCCGCTCTGGATCCAACTTCAATGTCCTGTGGGGATCAGGAACAAGGGGGAAGAGTCAGAGGCTGAGAAACTCCACTCCAGCTCGGGGTGGGAGAGTCAGACACTTGGGGGCGGGGTTTGGGGTGGAGGAAGAGTTTTCCAGTTTGGGGGGCCCGGGCCTAGATACGCATGAAGAAGAAAGAGGCTACTGAATTAGAGCTTGGAATGGCTGGAATGAAAGGACCAACCAACCCTTGGAGGCGGGGCTTGGCCAGTCCTGGGTGGGGTCGCGCCCAGACTGAGAAATAGGCGGTTTGGCCCAACCTGTTTGGGAGGAGCTGATTAAGGGCCTGAAAGAGAGGACCTCCCAGGGACCTGGGGAGGGTGGAGCTTGGGGCAGGCCTTAGACAGGTGTGTTGGGGCGGGCCTTGCAGAGGGGATGTGATTGTGCCAGGCGTGGTTTCGGTAGGACTAACTAGGAGGCGGGGCCCTGAGCCAATCCCTTTATAGCGAGCTCATCTGAGGGCGGAGCTAATGGAAAGGGCGGGGTTCACCCTTCACGGAGCCTGGAATCCAGGTCCTGAAGCTGACTCCGAAGCTGCTCCTGCTGCTCACTCAAGGCCCGAATGTGGGTGCCAAGTGACTCCACGAGGCTGGACAGCGCCTTCTGATCCTCGCGCAGCGCGGCCACCTCGCACTGCAGCTCTGCCAGCTGTGTGGAGGGAGCAACTGTAACCTGTCCCGTCCTTTCTCCCCAAAGACCCTGACCTCCCTGTCCCTTGCGCTCTGCCTCCTAACTGCCCTGACTGTTGGCGAACAACGCTCTCGTTGTACGCAGGAGGAAACGGAGGCCCAGAGACGGTTGGACTAGGCCTGGGGGGTAACACAGCCCAGCGAGCTCGGTATTTGAACCAAGAGCTGCCCATCTTTCAGTCTTTTTCCTGTTCCTGTCTCCCCATTCTGTGCGCGGACCTGGGCTGTAGCTCACCTTGCCCACGGGTCGGTGGGTGCCTAGCGACTGGTCTCTGTCCCTCGGCTGATCCAGATGGCGCTGCCAGGGCACTGATGACTTCCGAGGCAGCGAGGCCGGGGTCCCAGTCCAGGGCC